CATGATCTCTTCTTTGGTCTATTGTTTAAAAATGTTTTGCATAATTTCCACGTAGATGAAAATTTTCCAGTTTTCCTTCTGTAATTGATTTCTGGTTTTATTACACTGTGATCAGAAAAAATACTTTATATATTTTTAGTATTTTAAAATTTGTTGAGCCTTGTTTTATGGTCTGTCATGGAGAATGTTTCATGAGTCATGAAGATGAATGTATGTTCTTTTGTTGTTGAGTGGAATATTCTGTATTATTCTTTTAGTTCCAGTTGTTCTATACTGTTGTTCTACTCCTCTGTTTCATTATTTATTTTGGTTCCAGACCACCACAATAAAGGGAATACTGTAATAAAGTGAGTCATACAAGTGTTTTTGGTTTCTAACTTCATATAATTATATTGTACATTGGTTGTAAGATTTATTTCTGGTTATTTTATGTTTCTTGTTAATATTATAAATGTTTAGTTATATAGAAAATCATCTGAGATTTGCACAGTTGTCTTTTATAATCTTGCTCAACTCTAGCTCTAAATGTTTACACTTTGTTTTTGTTTTTTGGTGGAAGATCATATTGGCTACTAATAAGAATGGTTTACTCTTTCTCTTAATATTTATATATTTAATGTCTTTTCTTTTTTTCCTTCTCTTAGTATATTACCTAAAATCCCCAGGACAATTTTAATATAAAACAAATTTGTTCTTGATTTTTGAATGAACATTTCACAATTAATTATCGTATTTGCTGATTTTTGGCATTCATACCAAAGTAAGAAAATTCTTCTGTATTCCTATATTTTTGTTAGTTTTTTGTTTTTGTTTTTAAATCGTAAGGTGTTGGATTGTTCTGGGTGATTTTTCTGACTCTATTGGCATGTTCATATTTTTTTTTCTTTAATCTCTTAATGTGGTAAATTATATTAATAGATTTTCTAATGTTAAGCCGTCCTTGTATTTCTGGAACCAAATAATCTCAATAAATTACCCAAATCTTTCTTTAATACTACTATAGTTTATTTTGGATTTTTGCATTTATATGCCTAAGTGATATCGCTCTGAAATGTTACTTTTTATGTCCTTTCCTTTCTGACTTGGATAACAGGTCATGCAATTTTCATAAAATGAGTTGAGAACATCCTTTTTAAATTCTTTGTAACGTTTCCCACAAGACAGGGGTTATTCATTTATTGAAATGTTTGTAGGCCTTTCCTTTAAACCTTTAGGACCAGATAAGGTGTTTTTGTGAGTCAGCTTTATATAATTAATTAAATGTGTTGATATTTGTAACATTTTGAATTATCCTTTTGAAATTTTCTAGTTTTTCTTTTTTTTGAATTTTTAAATTTAGAGTGTGTAGTATAGTCACATGGCTTAAAACTGAACAATATTTAGTGGGAAACAATGAAAAGTTTTACCTTAATTTTGTATTAATATGAAGGGGATTTCCGTCAGAGAGGAATTCTATTTTTGTTTTTTACCTTGGGAGCATGACTTGTGGGGGCCCACCATAAGTCATGCTCCAGATTTGGGGTTCACTGACCTTCCAAAAATGGAAACCCAGGCTGGAATTATGTGTGAGGGCTAGCTTTAGGACCACCTGCACTGAGGGGTGCATTTTCCTACTTCGTTTTCTTTCTTCCTTTGCTTAGTATTACAAATGAAGTTCTATTATTTATTCTTGATTCCATTCTGGTAATTTAGGTTTTTCATGAAAAATTGTTCTAGGTTTTTATACTTACTGGGAAACTTGCTCTCATATTTTATAATAATTAAAATGTATGTATTATGTCCACTGGAAGCTGACATTTGGATTATTGTTTTCAGCCTATCTTTCTTGTAGTCTGCTTTATCATGATGAATGGACTCACCATTTACCTCTTTGCTCCCAGGACATATCCCTATGAGAGATCTTTAATTCCTATCTTTATCTTGCAACTCCACAGATACTTATCAACAGGTCCTGTCATTTCTACCTTCAGAATATATTTTAAATTGGACTCTTTACCACCTCTGTTATTACTTATCAAGACACCATCAGCTTTGGCTGGATTATTTCAATAATTTTTGATATGGTTTCTCTGTGTCTACTCTTCACGTCAAATAGTTTTTTCGCTTTAACTGCCTGATTGTTCCATTTTTGCTTCATAATGTTTGTCTATTTTAGTATATTCTGTATATTTATAGTTCTTTTAAATTGGTTCCCATATTTGCATTTCGCTAGGATAGTGTCGCTGCCTTGCCTTGCCTTGCCCTGCCTTGCCATTGCCTTGCCCTTCCCTTGCCCTTCCCTTCCCTTCCCTCCCCTCCCCTCCCCTCCCCTCCCCTCCCCTCCCCTCCCCTCCCATCCCCTCCCCTCCCCTCCCCTCCCTGCTTCCTTCTTTCCTTTCTTTCCTTTCTTTCCTTTGGTGCAGTCTCAGCTCACTGCAACCTCCACCTCCCAGGTTCCAGTGATTCTCATGCCTTAGCCTCCCGAGTAGCTGGGACTACAGGTGCATGCCACCATGCCCAACTAATTTTTGCACTTTTAGTAGAGACGGGATTTCACCATGTGGGCTAGGATAGTCTCGATCTCTTGCTCTCGTGATCTGCCCGCCTCAACCTCCCGAAGTGCTGGGATTACAGGCATGAGCCACTGCGCCTGGCCGAATAGTGTTTATTTCTGATTGTTCACTTCGTTGACTCTCTTTTTGAAGGTTAGATTTTGAAGGGTTTGTCTTGATGGGAATTACCATCTTCTATTTCTACCCTGGTGTTCGTTTATCCCTTTTAAGCTATTTTGAGGTTCCTAGTACTTTTGGGTATCTCAGTCTGGAGCTAGATCTTCTTTCAAGCCTGAGGCACCTTGTCCCTCCCTGATATTTGGCAGAAATCAGATTGAATCTTGAGATGAGCAGCTTTACACAGATCTTATCTGTGGTATGTTAAAAAATTTCTTCTATGTCTCCAGACTATAGTTACAATCTGTTTTTGGCTTCTTGTAGTTTTTTATTTTTTTTCTTTTGTTCATTTGTTTGTTTGTTTTTAAAATAGTACTTTAAGCTCTAGGGTACATGTGCACAACGTGCAGGTTTGTTACATATGTATACATGTGCCATGTTGGTGTGCTGTACCCGTTAACTCATCATTTACATTAGGTATATCTCCTAACGCCATCCCTCCCCACTTCCCCACCTATGAGGGGCACTGGTGTGTGATGTTCTCCGCCCTGTGTCCAAGTGTTCTCATGGTTCAATTCCCACCTATGAGTGAGAACATGCGGTGTTTGGTTTTCTGTCCTTGCGATAGTTTGCTGAGAATGATGGTTTCCAGCTGCATCCATGTCCCTACAAAGGACATGAACTCATCCTTTTTTATGGCTGCATAGTATTCCATGGTGTATATGTGCCACATTTTCTTAATCCAGTCCATCATTGATGGACATTTGGGTTGATTCCAAGTCTTTGCTATTGTGAATAGTGCGGCAATAAACATACGTGTACATGTGTCTTCATAGCAGCATGATTTATAATTCTTTGCTTGTATGCCCAGTAATGGGATGGCTAGGTCAAATGGTATTTCCAGTTCTAGATCCTTGAGGAATCGCCACACTGTCTTCCACAATGATTGAACTAGTTTACAGCCCCACCGACAGTGTAAAAACGTTCCTATTTCTCCACATCCTCTCCAGCACCTATTGTTTCCTGACTTTTTAATGATCGCCATTCTAACTGGTGTGAGATGGTATCTCACTGTGGTTTTGATTTGCATTTCTCTGATGACCAGTGAACATTCCATGGTCATGGATAGGAAGAATCAATATCATGAAAATGTTCATAATCCCCAAGGTAATTTATAGATTCAGTGCCATCCCTATCAAGCTACCAGTGACTTTCTTCACAGAATTGGAAAAACTACTTTAAAGTTCATATGGAACCAAAAAAGAGCCCATACTGCCAAGACAATCCTAAGCCAAAAGAACAAAGCTGGAGGCATCACCCTACCTGGCTTTTGGCTTTTTAAGAGTATGAGAGCCCTTCTGTAGTCCCCAGTTTCATTATCTGAGTTTGAATTCTTTCCACTGCTAAGCGTAACAATGCATTTAGTCCTAACTGTCAGTAGTTGAACATCTACCATCTCTGTATATGTTGGGCACAAAGATAGAGTAACTTTTTAAAAAGGCTTGATTTCTCACCCTTCCTCCTTCTGCCCTATCCTCCCCTCTGTCTTCCTCTCCTTCCTCCATCTAATTGTCTGCCTTTGCTGTCTGTCTATCATTGTCTCTTTTTTTGCAGATAAATAGGAATTTCTAGTGCTTTACCTAAAACTTGGTGTTTATGTTTGGAAATAATGAATGTATGGTATTTATGTTGGCATACTTTATTTAGAGAGATATATATATATATATATTTTAGTTCTTTACAAAAGTAATTACAATTAATTTTATATTGTATCTTTAAAACATCTAATTTTAAAATCCTTTCACAATGAAAAAAGATGTAGAGAATGATCAGGAGGAAAAGATCAACTTTCAAGAACTTTAGGTACATTTCACTACAGTCAAGAGAACTGAACATGATCTGAGTCTCAAACTTTGGAAAACTATTTTGATGTCTTTGAAGTATTGTCCTTTCTTCTGTATGTGCACTTCAAACAGAGAAAACAGGGAAATAAGTAAATGTCTATAATTTGTTGTGATTAATATCAAAATAAATGAGTTCTTTTTGTTCATCTACTGTATTACTTTATTGTACAATAATTTAATAACTAAATGTTTTATACATATCTTCTAGTTTATTTACTTCACATTCTTAACTTTTATACCAAGAGACCATGACATTTTTAAGTTTCTGAAAAAAAATCCGTGACTGGTATAAAAGTTATTGTTTGTGTTAAAATTATTTTAAGTAAGTGAAAAAAATAAAACAGTATTAGTTTTTCTCTGTCATTTTGTAGAATAGTTAAATATAACATGTTTTGTTACGTTTAGTATTTATTATGTTTGATTATTGATATAAGCACTCTAATTTTAGGCCTTTGAAGACAATTTAATTGAAGCAAGGAAAGAAGTTGAAGTATCACAGAGTAAATATAATGCTCTATCATTACAGTTGAGTAATAAACAGACTGAACTTATCCAGAAGGATATGGATATTACCCTGGTCAGGCAAGTATATTCAATTTTTAATTTAACATTATAGAAATGTCATTAGTCATTCAGAATGATAGCATTTATACTTATTACGAACACTGTAAAATAATAACTATGTTTTCTATGGTTATATATGTTTGTGCATTGAGAATCTGGAGTTATTTACACTAAATTGAAAAATTGCCTGGGAGAATGAGTGAGTTTACAGGATTGGACGAGCATGGTCAAGGGGTACCCTAGTTTCAGTTTTTAACAAGGACATTGTAATGCTTTCATTCATTGTTTTCTTCTAACATTTCTAGCCATGTGTTACATGATACTCATATTGTTACAGTGAACAATAATAACTGAGAAACAAATTTTGACTTTTAATTTTATTATGTTTTATATAGTTTCAGTTTGTAAAGCAGTCTTTCTATATCAACATAATTGATTTTATAATACTTTTCATAAAGTTGGATTACTTGAAAAAGTAAGCACGATACACTTGTGTTTCTAAGTGTTTTTTAAAGATGTTAAAACTATTAATTTACTTTATAATTACCTTTTTCAGAAAATAGTATGAGAGAGAATAAATTAAGACAGAACTTTTCCTTGGTTCATAGATCAATATCTGTCTATCTGTCTGTCCACACGCATGAATGGACATGCATGCATATTTGTATGTATGTGTTTATTTATTTTGGTAGCACCAGAGCATGGGATCGAAGGTATGCTTCTAGAGGTATATCATAGACCTTAAATATATAATTTATTTTAATTTAAAACTAAGTGATATATAAATGATGGATACGTCTCTGCCATTCTGGTACACATTGGGTGGAGTTCTTTGGTAAAACTTATCTGGGAATTTTCCTTCATGATAGTGGGCATTGGTAAGGGGGTCAAGTTAGTGCTGTTTATCAGGTAGTTTTTATGGTTCCATTGGGTAAAATACAGTTTTGTAAATTTGTGCCCTTGTGAATTTAGTTTGGATGAGAAACTGTTTACCATTATTGAAGCCAGTAAAATTAAAATGAATTAGAACATTAACAGATTCCTTGTATCACATTTTAAAAACTTTTTCATCATAAGGGTGAGGAAAAGTATAAACTTTATAGATGACAAACTGGTTGACATATCAGCTCATATTGTAATTATTTTTAAAACAATAGTGAAGTCAGAAAAGTAATTCTAAATAGGAATAGAACCTTAGATTTGGATGAAATTTAAAAATTTTTATTTATTCATATCCTCTTCCCAATAAGATGGCATAGATAGCATTAAGTCTTTCCTTGAAACGTAGTTTAAAAGTTTCTCATGCTTTTCAATACTGCTGTTTTCTTTTTATATTGTTTAAATTTTTGAACATTGTTTTACATGTACTTAGTTGAAATTTGCCTTTTTATAATTCCCACCCATTTATTATAGTTTTATTATCTGGAGAATCTCAGAAACAATCTACTCCCTATTCTATAACATAACTCAGTGGTCTTAGTTCTCAGTGACAAAACTTTTTCACTAATTGATCAACTACTCCTATTTCTTACATAAACTCTTAATGTACATGTTTCACAGATGTTACCATATTTTGGATTACCTTTCTGACTGTTTTCCATATTGTCAATCTTCTTCTTAAAATATAACATCTAGAACTGCATAAAATATTTCAACAAAGACCTTTCCATTTTAGAGTATGATGCTGCTAGGCTATTAGAACAAATGTGGTGTTCATTCTAGGATACAGTGCAGTGTTAAGGACATGGGATGTAACAACTATGTTTTCTTCTGCATTTTGCGTGAGTTTGTATATTTAAATTTAGTGTATTGCAAGAGCTGTAAGTTATTACAAATAAAGCAAGAATATCCTCACATGCACTTTTTCTTATACAATAGTAAAAGAATGATAGCTAGTGGGCCATGTGTAATTGTAAGAGTTTGATTATAAGGACTCATAGAGGCTTATGGCCTATGTGAATTAATGTAGGAACAAAAAACCAAATACTTCATGTTCTCACTTATAAGTGGGAGCTAAACACTAAGCACCCATCGACATAAACATAGGAGCAGTAGACCCTGTGGACTACTAGATGGTGAAGGGAGTGAGGGTGCATGGGTGGAAAATCTACCTGTTGGGTACTATATTTACCACCTGGGTAACAGGATCCATACCCAGACTTCAGCATCAAGCAATAGAGCCAAGTAATAGTACCACACATGTACCCCCTGTATCTAAAATAAAAGCTGAAATTTTGAAAAAAAGGATTCACAGAGGAGAAGAATAATAGCACAGAGTTGGTAGTTTGGAGCAGTGTACTTTGTCTTGAATCCTCATTATAAGTTAGTAGTTGAGTTGTCTACAATGTGTCTCCTGAGTTATCTTGTATGAAGATTACTGTTGGATATACTGCGTGTCTTATTTCTTTCATCATTATTTCATTGGGAGAGGGTGGTTATGATATACCAGTCCCAGTTTATTGAATCTATGTTGTAATCAAGACATATAAAGCCATAATTGTGGAAAAAGTGGTCTAGGCACCTTCTTATTTGGATACACTTTTCCACACTGATAAATGATAGAGCTACTGTTTCTGTATGGAGTCCCTTGTTTGAAGTTCATAGTCATTTATATTTTATTGAATATTTGATCCATGTCACCCATTGTGCTAAAGGATATTTTTGTGAACTCTACCTCAAATGATTTTTGCCTAGGTTATGGTATAAATAATTATATACAGTCATTCCTTGGTATCTGTGGGGGATTGGTTTTAGGCCTCAATATGGATACCAAAATCTATAGATGCTCAAGCCCCTTACATAAAACGGCAATATTTGCACATAACTTATGTGCATCCTCCTGTATACTTCAAATCTTTAGATTACTTCTATTAATAATATCAAATACAATGTAAATCCTATGTAAATAGTTGTTATACTGTATTTTTTGTTTGTATTATTTTGTTGTTATATTTTTAAAATTATTGTTTTTGATCTATTGTTGGCTGAATTTGTGGAATCAGAAACCACAGATATGGAAGTCCAACACTATGCATATATAATGATGTACATGTCTGTAATCTATATAGAGCATATGGATATATTTACCTAGCTATGGCATAAAAAAGGATAACCGATTAAATTGCCTAACCAAAACTTTTGCCTGAATAGGTAATGGTTCTACAATTGAGGTGAGAATTTTTGTTAGAAATTGAGTCAAGACAGTGCAGTCATAATTTTGGTTCAGAAAATCTTCAGACAGAATCCTGAAATTGGATTAATACATCTGGATTGCTGGTTTTCTCAGATGCTTAGCAGAAGCAAGTGAGTTTTCTTTGGAGAATGATAAAATAATCTGGACTTAAATTATATCTAAAGTTTTACAAAGTAAGGTCTAGCACATAGTCAGAAATGACAAGTATGTAGTAAGGAAAGAAGAATAAAAAGATACAAGACCTAGAAATGAAAGCAGAAATCCTAGTTATTTGCTAAAACATGATTAATTCACATAGATAACCCAAAATAATTTATATATAATTTAATAAGTTTATCATGCTTGGTGGATACATGGTCAGTATATAAAACTTAATTGCATTTTTATACCAGCAAAACATATTAGGAAATAAACTTAAGAAGAATTTACAATATTACTGGAGGTATGAAAAGCAAATCTAATGAAAAATGTTTGTTACCTCTATTCAGAGAATTCTACAAACATTGAGAAAAATAAAAGATCTAATATGTTCAGGGAAATAACAAAGTTCATGGTTTGGAAGACTCACTATGATGAAGATACCAGTTCTCTCTGAATAGATATTAGATTCAGAAAATACTGACCATGGATTATCAACAACAGGAAACCATTACCACCCTTAGCCAGAAGGGACAAGAATTAGTATCCTGTGACAGAAGCTGCCCAATAAGAGCAATAACCTTAGACAGAGGAACATAGACACTATCAAACTGTGGCTCAGCAGAGAGTGAGCTGGGTAAATAAATATCCGGACCTCTTTCTCCTTTACCCTGGAATCACCAGCTAGTGCCTTCAACTGATGAAATTCAGTCAGAGTCAGAAAACAAGGAGCAGTATAATCTAGTCTTTAGAGAGATTGGTCTCTTAGACTAAACAGAGTAGAGATGATGAAGATTGGCCCATTCTCAGTTACTACTCTTCTTCAGAGCTTTTCTGGCCATTATTCCCTGTTAGTCTTTGCACATGAACTTTAGAGTAAACTTGCTTATTTTTTCATGGTATATTATTAGCACATAAAATTTACAATAATCTAAGGAGAATTGACATCTTTATGGTGTTCAGTCTTCTTGTCCCAGAGTGTGGTGTATCATTTCATTTGTTTCAGTCTACCTCTGTGTCTTTCCTCATACAGGTTTTGAACATTTCTCATTAAATTTATTCCTAGCTCTTTCTTGTTTCTTGTTACTATTTTAAATGTAATTTTCCCTTCCCATATAGTTTTCAAATGATTTTTCTTTTATTGCATATAGTTTTACTGTGCAGTTGTTTTGGTGGATAAAAATTAGTTGTTTTATTTTTACTATGAATTGTGCTATAGTTATTTTGGTACAAATGATAAACGTGAATTATATAAAAATAAATACATGCAGTACAGAAAAGTATAAGGAAGGTAAAAGAAAAAAAATTACACTAAAAGTGCATCCCTAGAGAAATAATAGCCATAAAATTTTGTGATCATTGTTCTAGATTTTTCTCAGTCCCTATTTATAAATTGAAGATTGAGTAGACAGACATTTTTAAATAAAAGGGACTATATTGCACATGCTCTTTTGGTAACTAATAATTTTAGTTTTTTTTCATATAATGAAACAATAAGGCTCTCTGTGAACTTGAGGAGATTATTACATCTTAGATAATTAGTTTTTCTCTATAAGGAGCACTATCTTTCTAAAACTAAGAACAAACTGATATGAAAAACCTTGGAGATTCATGATTTTTTTTAAAACTACATTTCATCTCTAGTTGATTTTGGCACTCTGCTCTATATACTCTGGAAATGAGCACA